TCCCATTTAATAAAATTAGCCGTCGTAAGAAAATGGACATTACTTCCAGAATATTAAATGCAAAATTTTTAGGTTGATTTTAAATGGAAATGTTTCACATTTTGGTCTTTGGTGAAAACGCTGCTACACACACTGCAGATTTATCTAATCYCGGGTCCGGAGCACATGCAAATTTTATACGCGATTTAAACGAAACTTTCTTTACCTAAGTTGCAAAGCTGCAAATTTAATAAAAGCGATATTTCTGTTGCACTTTGTAAAAAGTTTGTTTCAAAAATTCGCATCGGGAGTTGTAGTTGCAGCCGGAAGGAAACTTCCAACACTTGAAAGAAACTTGTTCGCATCTAATTACATCACCAAGTATTATATTCTTCTGAAATCGGTTTATATCAGTTCCCAACAAGAGAGATTTTATTGAGGTTGAGATTCGAGTTTAGTAAATCTCGAATCAAGTTTATGAAAAGATTGTGCATTTTCTTCTAACGGATTTTTTTGTGACAARAAATATCTCGGATTGATGTAATTTTTGCATTTTATGGTAATACACAAGGCATTATTGGAACACAGGCTGCAGTAGCATAAATATCTGGCTAAATTACCGCGATTTATTTTCACAATTGCTACTTGACTCTGATAAATTGCCCACTTAGACAGTAGGTCAAAAGCGTTGTGATTTACGTATACAAAATCACTAATGGACTATGTACTCAAAAATTGCCAGGTGAATGAGGCTAAAGTAGCGTAAACACAGCGCTTATCGCAAAATACACCGAAAACAGTGCTTTAGTATTCCTCGAAATCATTAGCCTGTCTCGTAATGTCGTCGGCTCTTACAGAAAAACTGTTTTTCATATAGATTTTGTTTCAACCATAAATATTAAATTAAATTTTTGAATTCCAATAAGTTCTCAACACTTTCYCACTTTCAAAATTCATTCACATCCTGTCTCAAGTACCGACAGATTATAATTATTTTTGTTGTATAAAAATAATTTGTTTTTCTCAAGCGAATAATAATAATAATATGAATAATAAAAATAATAATATAAAAAAACAGATTGAAGTTATAGTTATTTATTATACAAGACGATAAAGAAATTGTTTATCTACGAGGGAAAAGATTAAGTTTAAGAGTGACGAAGTCACGAGTGGACTTTTTCACGAGTAGATAAACAATCTTTATCGTGGTGATAATATTTCGTCTTATTTTGTACACACCTACCAGAATTTCTTGAATATACACAGTAGATAAAAATTACTTTATTTTACAAGACAATAAAATACTACCTTATCTACTGAAATTAGTTGATAAAATATAAACAGTAGATAAAAATTACTTTATTTTACAAAACGATAAAAGACTACTTTATCTACTGAAATTAGTTGATAAAAGCACTCTTTAACATAAAGTACAACATAAAATTACTTTCATGTTAATTGCATGCCAACTATGCCAAATTTATTTCTAAAAAATTTGAGGGTATTGACGATTTAAATTGTTTTTTATTTGTGTTTTTGACTAGTTATTCTCATAAATAAAATCGCATTAATACTTGAAAGTTCTTATATGCTTTACCCTTTAATCCTATATTTATAGCATTATTGTTTGACGTTTGTGACCCACGCACGTTTATTTCGGTTTCATTTATAACAAAAAAGTTCAATAAAGCAGCTAGTTAGTAATGTCGTGAGAGGGATGAATGTAGTCTATTTAGACACAGCGCCTTGTGATATATGATATATATTTAGCTCTTATTTACCTACCTAGTCACAATGAATAAAAACAATAAGAAACTAAAATGTATCGATTTAAAAAAAAAGCTTGGTTACATTAAACTTTCATCAAATTTTAAGCTGTAGCTCATTTCCGCGTTCTTATTTTGACCTAAATGTGATATTTTAGGATTTGTTGAAGAGTTTTTTAGATGAGAGGACGGCTGTGTCAAAGATATTGGTCGCGGGAACAAAGATTAATGATAGTAGATTACCATTTTGACTATAAAAAATGGTACAAAGTTATGTAGGTTGATATGGTACTCAATTTTGATTTGTTTCGAGCACGCTTTTTGCTGTATTTATTAATAGACAAGTTTTGAAGTTGCACGTCTGCCAGTGATTAAAATGTTAGCTTACTCAAGTACTCGTGACCATCCCTAATAAGAAAATCAATCAAACAATGTCTGAGAAAAAAGTTAATAAAACGCGAAGTTTATTTCGGCTCGGATTACTTATTAAAAATTGATTTTTTTTTAGCATCGGAAATAATATACCTGATAATTTACTTTAGAAATATCGTCGAATGAAATTTTGTTCTACCTAGACAATTGAAAGCAATTTTTTTTCTGTACAGTGAGGTGGGAAATATAATATACCTAACGACGTCGTTAGAAAAAAATGTTTATTTTCTCCAAACATTAATTTTATTTGTGACGGCGCAAATAAATACAAGGATGCTTTTTAAAAATGTAATAAGTTGGTTTTGATTGTTATACAGATGGTTATTGCGCTGTCGCAATTTCTCTCAGTTAAGAAACAACTTTCATCCCAGTTGGCTTATTCACATTTTAAATAACAAAAAGAAATACCATTTCCGATTTATTTGAATATATGTTGTATAAACAAAACAAAGCACTAAAGGTTTCAGAAAAGCTAGAGATATGAAATATTTGAACAAGGATCAACCACAAGCCACAGTTGTAAAAGTTTTATTTTACTCAAAGGTATTAGCATCAGATGTTGGTTCTACTTCTTGGTATTTTAAGTCAATAAGATATTTYTGAGAGTACTTTCGGTTTCATTACAACTTTATTATGTTTAAATTTCTATTTTTAAAAATACCTATAAGAAACTGTTAGCAGGCGTTAGCTAGTTCTTTGTTCTATTTAATGTTTAAACTTTATACACGAGACTTAGGGTAAATTTATGCTCCCATATTTAAGGTTTCTCAATTAAGCTTTCATTTAGGAATTTACGGATTCTTAATTAACGGAACATTTTTCACAAAAAGTCATTTAACATATTACATTTCTGAAATTAGTGAGAATTTGTGATAATCTATAATAATAAATTGTAAAAACGAGTTTATTTTTGAAATGCTTTGCTCACTGCTATACTACTTGTTATTTTTTAGCTAAAGATTATGTGGTTCGGCGAAAAGAAAAGGGTTTCTTCAACAATTTATTRAAATTAGCATCTCCCATATTTCTTCTTTTAATTTCAGAAAAAAGTTTAAAATTTTAAATATGTATGTAATTAAAGTAAATTTCATTAATGTAAGTAATGACAAGTTGACAAGAATCTGATTTATGCATGCACAGTCACCGATTTTATCAATTTTATTTATCATGGTCAAAGTTGGTTAACTCTTAAATTAAATTACTGAAATTTTAAAGACAAGCTTAAAAGTTAAATGTTAGTATACTTAAATGATTTCATTGAAAATGCATTTTTGATCTTCTTAAATGTAAATTTATAAATTAAATCTTAAATGAAAAATTTTAAATATGGAAGCATAAATTCTCCATTAAGGCTTAACTTATCGTTTGCCAAGATAGGGAATTTCAATGCATTTTTCGAAAAGGTTTTTCTCGGCTATTATAAGGAATTTTTTGATTTTTATTTTTTTGTTGAAACCATTTTAGATATTTCTAGGGATATTAAATTCTTATTTTTTATATATTTTGTAACTTATTTTTTATAATAAAATTATAGTATTTATATGGAAACTAACAATGTCCTTCCTACATGTACCAAAGACCTTAAGAAAAAAAAATGAAATCATTCGGATAATTAATAACTGTAAAATCTCTTGTGGAAAATATTATTAGCTTTCGTAGTGTGAAAATCGTCTTGTCTCTCTCAACCCTAGTTCTTTTTCACAACAAACTGCGCTTACCGTAAGCAGACTCCCATCACCGGTTTTATCTGATTTATGACCTTACGAGGGATGTTTCGCATCTATAAGGAAACAACTAAAAGTAGGTACAAGCTGTAAAATTAGGTCATTTTAAGAATTRATGTAAAAGATAAATAAATTTAATAAGACGATGTATTTACACCAGGTAATTCTATTTTTCACCAAAAATTAAGTTTAATTATTATGCAGAAATGTTAGGAATAACTTGAAGCCCTTTTTTCTTACTGGATACCTGTTATGGGTTTTTAATCCGTTAGGGGTAGCTACTGATATGATGAAGTTTACAAAAGTAGTACTTATTGTCTTCATAACAAAATACTGTTTATTGTTTGAAGGTATGTAGGTAGACAAGAGGCTTATTTTCCTATTTGCTGTTTCTAAATAAATTAAAATTGGAAGTACCAAATGCTGCTCTGATTTCATATAATTCTAAAGGTAAATATTTACATTGTTTGAAAAACGCTGTAAATTAAAAAAGTCCGGGATATTATACTACTAAATATGTAAATGCACAACAAAAAATAAAAGCAAATAATTTAAAACGAAAATTAAATAAAAATAATGGCAACAATATAGTAAACAGAAGAAAAATTACTGAAGAAGCAGATGATGATTATGGTTGTGTTGTGCAAAGATGTTTTGAAAGTAATTAAAAAAACTCCTGAAGAAAGTCAGATATTTTTTAATCAAACAATTTTATTACAATCACTATTTACCAGCTTATGAGTTGAATAGAATATTTTTTTATCACTGCTTGTCGGAAAAATATAAATAAAAACATTTTAAAAGTTTTATTTCAAAAGTTTTTAAAGATTTTGAGATTCTGTTGGTGGAACTGAAATGTTTGCTACCCATAAAGTAAGAAAAAAACAAGATTGGATTAAATTTTCATTTTATTACATTATACCGTGGTTAATACTTTTAGAAACRCTTGTTATGCAACCAACAATTAAAAAAAAATTATACAGTTTCCTGTATTTAATAGTGCATAGTGCTTCTTAATCTCAGTAGGTATACTTAGCTRTTATCTTCCTAGATGTCTCTGTGTCTGTTTTAAAAACGAGTTTGTCAGGAAGTGTCCTTGGTTTTTAATGAATTGCACATCGTACACGAGTTTGCAAAACAGATCTTACTTCCTAGTCAGCTGATGGTCAAATTGCGTTTTGGCCAACATGTCTGATAACGGACAGAGTGAGTCGTTCGCGGTCGTGTAACATAACGTGAAAATGTTTGTGAAAATTCGCAGTGTTTGTCAATATCAGCTGTGAAAATGTCAGATAGCTGTTGTGGCAGCTATGGACAAGAAAATCGTTGGGAAATCGTCGTAAATTCCATGTCAGCACGTACGTATTGCAGTTTGAGTCTCCGTGGGGGCTTTCTTGAATTCCTGCATRGACCCCCTCGGCGAGAGCTTCACCACCGAAATCTCTTTGTTTACCTATCCCGTGAATGTAAACATGCATCATTGATGATAATGACGTTTTGTTGGCTTTATTTATAACTGTGACTGTTCAAAATTCACCTACTGTAGGTGGTGGACATGCAACAGACCCCAGAGCTAAAAAGTGGCAATTTTGCCCAATTGACCTCGACCAAATAACGCGAACTACCACTGATAACATTATCGACAGTCACAATATTTTGTCTAGGGTTCTAGATTCGTAATTGCGTTCTTTTGCAGGTATTTCTAATTTTGGATTTTTTTCGAAGACCGTTCCTAAATTGCCTTAAAATGCTGTTCGTATTCCAAGTGGACACTGGCCGTATGATGACTTTCGATATGAGCCTCGCTCTAGAAAGGTTAGTCTTTTTTATCCTTGAGGTTATGTTTACATCCAAATCCACAAACAAAAAGTGCTAAATATGGTATTTTTAAACCCGACAATATTTTTCCATCAAGTCGTTTACACCAGTTATAAATACTCATTAACAAGGAGAGACCTGTTCAAACATGCAGTTTATCACGTTTCATGTACTCGCAATATTTACATTTGCTACCGATTCAGAATTAAATTTTATAACACGGTAGAAGATGTGTAGAAAATAATTTTTCTGCGTATGAATAATTACCTGAATCATTTGCATTGTTTAATTGCTTTTTGCAGTTTTTCCAGGCTTCGTGGAATTAAATTTCTAAAGCGTAAAAAGTAATTGAAAATGATGCATTTCCGTTATCAAGATCGTTGTCTCCTGCACTATGGGGATGAATTTATTCCAACTAAGAACTCTATCTAAAAAGCTATTGTTGAATACATAGAGAAGTTCAACTGAAAACTCACGTGCTAACCCTAAATTTGGGTTTTAACTCGGAATTTTGAATTTTAGACTCGAAAATTAATAAGATTAATTTTTCATTTTTCCTTTTTTAAGCTCGTTATTATTGTAGATTTAAATCTTTACTATGTTAAGTTTTAAACTTAGAATTTGGGTCTCACACCTCTTTTAAATAGATTTTTGGCTTTTAAATTCAAACACAAAACTTGGTCTTATAATGAATTCAGATTTTGTACTTATGCCAGAATTTTTGTATTTTCTTCTTTAAAAAACAGTGAAAACACATGTATTTTTAAATTTTATTTAATTAATCGTTGCAAGGAATTTATTTTTCTAATCTTATTGTATATTTTATAGTAAATTTTTGGCTACGAATGTGACCATTAGGCAATATTTCACTTTTTAAAAGTTGTGTTCATTACTTGTGTATTAATTTTTTATTCRTAAAGGTACTTACTCAAAAACATAATGAAATTGTGGGGGSTAMACTAAGAGCGTGTTCTGCATTGCCTATTAATAAAATCAATTAAAATTTGTGTAACGTTTTGTAATAAAATTACCGTTGACGAAATAATTACGTTTCGTTGACGTRGATAACAAATTTGCATGGGCATAACTCTTGAAACTAATTAAAGGGGTTACTTTACATGGTCARCTCTAATAAATATTCATTGTTACAAACTAATAGCTWTTCAGCGTTTCCAAAATTGATTTTATTTTATCAAGTTTTGAGTCGATCTGTATATTATTAATGTATMGGTCGAAGTAACTCCCTGTGGAAAAATCCGTTTAATGAATATAGGATTTATCATAAAGCTAGCAATCCTTCGCGATTAAAATTTGTCATGAACGATCGATGTTCGATCATCGTTTCATCGAGGAATTGTTGGGTCGCTGCCAAATTCGCATTTATTGTCACTATAAAAATTGTACAACTTGTTACAATGTGACGTTTTCAAATTGGCGATCTCGCGGTCGTCGACCTTGTCAGCGTATAACTCATAATTATCCCAGTCAATTAGGTATTTTTATTMCAACCCGGAACACGTAATCGATCTATAAAACGGATAGTTTATAATTATTTTAAGAAGACGCACCCTTAATATGGGTCGATAGAATTTGTAGAACCCTACGCGTGGCAATATCATTCTTTGTGACGATAAAAAATTAAAATCAGTCATTTGTTTACTCGGATAATCGCTAATCGTGCACTAGTTGTGTAAAATTTATGCCCCCAATTTTTAACTTTGATAGTGCTTCTTAGTTCTAGTTTATTGGATTGATAACGCGTTACTGCGTTTGCTTTCACTCGATAGTTTATTTGTTTGATTTTTAAAAGAAAATCGTGAATGTTAGTCGAAGACTGTTATTTATATGCATAGAAATCCGATCATTGCAAGGTTAATTAAACATGGAGCAATCATAAAACTGAAATTAGATTAGCAACTTAAGACGTTTGAAACGGTCGTGACGATTTCAGCGAAAGGTGGTAAAAGCTACTCGAGATTCCATTATACGGAAAATTGATTGAAATTGCCCAGATGATAGATCTACGACGTAATTTGCAGTGACTTTTTCACTAATTTGATAAAGTTTTTCTATAAGTGTTAGTGGACTCGAGTGATTTTATTAAAGAATTTTAATAGGCAAAAGTTAATAATAAATTGACTATGGATGCATATACATACAGAGATAATTTTAGTTGGCTGCCACGTGTAGGGTCGAGGTTGGGAATCTGCTCCCGAATCTTCGCCATTTCACAAGAAAGCAAATATATTTTCTTTGATCAGGTGATACGCCGATAAAATTTATTAAATGTCTGATATCATACCTTAAATAGATTTATGAGGTCAGCATCATTTAAATTGTTTTTTGTCATAATATTGAAATAGTGGAGACATTTTTAGAACAGTTAAAGAGTCACGCAAAAATATGGAAAGTGATCAAAGGTTCTTTAAACACATGTTTGATATTAGAAGTGGTCATGGTCTAGACATAATAATTTAAATAATTAAATGAGGAATTTTACAATCGAAAAATGCACAGTGAATGGTTAAACAATATCGCAAAATAATGTTTTAAAAACCATTCGAGACGATTTTTTCTGTTAAATTATACACATCGACCATTTATCTTGGAAAATATTAAGGACAACAAGAAAAAAACGATAATGCTATGCTAAAGTTGTCTGGCGAATTTCATTGCAATGGTTATTTTCCAGCATAATAAATGATTCGTTCAAGATTGGTGGTAATATTGATAGCAGTATTTCTTCATTTACCTTTCTTGTTATATGTCACTAATAATTTCTAGATTCTTTGTTTGAAGAAAAATGGCGTAATAACAAAATACGTGATATAGGTCAAGGCTAATTATTCATATCGTACTTTTGTGAAAAATGTCAAAGAACAATTTTTTTTTTAATCAAGTGCTCGATATTACTTGAATTAATTTGATATAACATTTATTACAAGAAAAAGTATTTAAATATTTAGTGTTAGTATTTAATAAACTTATAGATTGCTGATGTATAAAAATTATAACATTTAAAATTTAATGTTTGGTTTTTTGTAAGACAATAATGTTTACCTCGAGATAAATTATTGTTTTGCTTCACTAATTATAGCCTGTGATAACTGATGGTAGTTTTCTTCGTTTTGTTATTCTTCATTTTATTTAAACTTTTTCGTAATTGTTTTTTTGTATTTTTTCAAACAGGTCTAAATGGATAAGTAAATGTGCTTCTAAATAAACTGCTGATTAGACTTGTTTTTTGAGTATTTTTATTTATTTAAGTGTTTCAGGTTTCAGAGCAAATTTAATTTAATAATTCGTACTATTTAATTAAGCATGGAAATTTCTTTCTGATAACATTTAATTTCTTGTTTGGGAGGAAATATAATTTTTTACGAACTACGATAAGTTGTTAAAAAATTACTGAACCTCTTGGATCATAACAAAAATTATTACAGTATTTATTTATTACTTTACAAAAATAACACCAATGACAAAAACCTATAATCAAAGATTGATTTAAGTATAAAAATTGTCTTGAAAATTAATGGAATATTTATTTATTTCTTTCTGCTTGGCTGTCTTGCTTAAATGTATATTTAAATTAACTTAACTAATTTTTTTAAATATATGTTTGATAAATTGATAAAAGATAAATTTATGTTAATTTGGGTGTTTTACAATCTAACGTAAGGGATATTGTGTGGAATATATTACCTTCACATTTGTCTCCATTATTCAAACCCGAAAATGTATGCGAGGAAAAATGTATAAAGACAAGAATGAAAAATGTCGGGGCTTTTCGTTAAAAAAATCTCAATTTGAAAGTACATACTCTTTTCAGCTTCGGTCGATATACTCTTGTTTTGACAATAAAAATGTTAAAAACCTGTAAGATGATTTACACCACAAACATTTCTTCACTTGATAATAAAATAAGCAAAATATTTATTTTAACGACAAGAGAGACTGGAAATATTTGATCCAAGGTGTTGGGAAAACATAAACACGGCAAGAATGACTTGTTTTACCACAGTTTCTGAGACAATATCGTAAATATTTTGTTGGATGATATCAAACGTAAAATAACAAAGCGATTAAGATAAAGGGTTATTCGTTTTGCAAAAAAGAATTTTCGCGATTATTAATTCTACATTATTAGCACATAAATCAAGTGTTACAAGGCTAATTAAAAACAATACGATTTTTTAAAATCGAAAACGAATTTACATTAATTTGCAAGAGTCTAGTCGTCTATCGAAGCGCAACGCTTTGTTGTGTATACAATGTTATCACTGGAATATCTTACCCGGCGAAATTTATGTTAATTCGAATAATTTGCCTGAATTTCCTAATATTAATGGGGTCGTCAAATAAAATTTCTTACTAAGTTACGGTTACCAATTCGAAGTAAGGTTGGAATTAATTGCGATCTATATTGTTGTTACAATCACCCGACAAGGTTTCAACGAAATAAAAGAACATCAACTAAGTATATCGGCCTTGAAAATAGCAAATTTACGCTATGTAAACACATTAAACGTGCTAGTAGCGAGAATTAATGTGGGTGGTTCGATAAATATTTGTATTTTTTCCAGCGTACAAAATTTAAAATCACACGTGGAGTTAGCATTTAAAATTCCCGTCGACAAACAAGTCTTGCTGATCAGCGGTGGAGAGCATTTGCGTCCCGAAGACAGAGTCTGCTCTTATCCGGCAGGGACCGATACGAATCCAATTTTTCTATTTAGCAAAGCTGTCATCGAGTCCGATCAACCGCCGGCAGCTAGTGTTGATTATGGATCAGAGCAGGGTAACGCCCCCTCCCAGCAAATCGGATCAGAGGTTTTTGCAGGAAGATTAAAATGGAAAAATAAATTGCTCGCTCTTGCAAACTTTTCTGATCGAATTTGCAGCTGCCGCTTGCCTTGTTTGTGCTAAATTCTCCCCATAGATCTTTCCAGTAAAGTTAAAGAGTCGAGTGAATTACCGGCGACTTTGGCCACCGTTCAGAAAAGAACGCAACTCGCTCGACTGTTCTGTGAAGTGAGTCAAAGTCAAATGGCGACGTGCGAAAAGTTGGTCCACGAACAACATTTACAACAACAAGGGTGGTCGGCGGTTGTTGCCAATCTTGAGGATTTATATTCTGACTTGAAACATCGATGGAAACTCTACCAGGACGCTTTTAACGAATATATAGCAAAGCGCGACTCGTATTTAGAATTTTTAAACCAGTGAGTGGCTCAAATCTGGATTTAGGATGTAATTAACAAATTGTRTTGTAGTTTCAAAGATGATCTCCTTGTGTTACAAAAAATTCCTGTGTTACCTGCCCTTATAGAATCACAAAAGTTACTAGTACCTGAGCAAGATGATTTCCCTGAGGATAAGCAGTCGGAGAGTGTCAAAGGGGAAATGACACTTCATGAGTGGATATCCCAGAGGGATGATTTTATGGATTGTTTGTTTGATATTTGTTCGAAAGGATTGATACAGGTTGGGGTGAAAAAATGTAATATAGTGTTTTGATTAATGTTTTTTAGACCGATGAAAGGGAATTCCTCGCGTTGCAAGAGGAGATCGAGACGAAATTAGCAATGACCGACGATGCAACAATGAAAGAAATCAAAGGCTTGGGTGATCGACTTTTCGGTTTAGAAAAACTAATGGTTGACGCAAAACGTTACGTTACCGAGCAGATGAGACTGGCCGAGAGTTTTCAGAGAGTAAAAAAGCTACAAGCAAAATTTGTAATAGAAAAATAACTTGTAATTGTTTCAGAATCAAAGTCGAGCGAATCAGGTCAAGGAAACATCGGTGTTGCCGGCTCTTTGCGCTACTCATCTTCAACAGCTAGACGTCCTTTTGGAAAATCATAACCGTTTGCGCGATATTACGCGACGTTGTATCCTCGCTAAAGATGAGCTTAGTTCTAATTTATATCACAGACTCAAATGGATTGTGTTCATGGAAGATAATTTATCCGAATTCGACAATAAATTAGTGTTTCATTTTCAAAATTTGTTAAGTTTGCAACGACAATTGGAGATTTTGCAACAAGTTCACACAGCACCAACGATTTACCTTTCGTCGATTGTCGAAGTTGTTAGAAGACGGAAAGTGTCGCAGGCTTTTTTATTATGGGCTTCTGATGTCGCTTGCCATTTATTAACAATATACAATGAAGAAATCGCTAGGCGGAAAGATTTTCAAGCTCAAATCGAGGGTCATTTTCTTAGTAGTTTATTTCCGGGAATGGAAGATTTCCCTCCTAGTTTTGCTACGCAAGCACCGAGTATTTTCGATTCTAGTTTGCCAAAACTTACTGAAGAGGATGTAGATGAGTTAAGGCGTGTATTACCAGATTTAGTCGAGTGTCTTCAAATACCTGATACTTCAGCTGTAGAAAATTATTTCATGCTTAAAGACTCTAAAGACGATTTAGATAAAACTACGAAAACTGTCGAAGATAAATTGATTGAAGTTGTTGCAGAAGTCGGGTTAGCTAGTAATTTAGACCAGACGATGTTGAAAGCTATTGAGAACGAACCGCAACAAACAACGCCTCATGGACTTCCTCATCTTAAAGATCTAGACAAGTAAATTGATAATAATTGTGACATGWAAGAAATTTTATAAAAGTAAATTGTTTCTTTTTAGGGGCTGCGAGTCGGAGACAGACACCGAAGAGTTCGAGAAAGTGGGCCAGAGTCCATTTGATCTCCACTTCGATAAGGGAATTCCATCTTCGCGTCCGGGCACTCAAGACGCCTCCACTTTGACCGAGGTTGGTGAACGTAGTCCTCTCCCTCCAAAAAAACCTCCCCGTACATTCCAAAAACCCCACATACAAACCCTCGACGATTCAAACACCCTCCAACGTACTTTGAGTATTAGTGGCAGTCAGAGCAACACCGAAAGCTTCACAAATCTCAAAAATCCTTCACTCGAGTCAATCGACGAACTCTCGTCGTTGAAAAACTTCAGTTCGAACACGGAAAGTTGTTTTAATTCGCATCATCAACAGATGCAAGGCTATTCGACGCTCTTGTCTCGTTCTAAATCGATCTCTCCTCACACACCGCAAAGCCCAAAAGATATCCAAGGAGAATCACCCAATTCACCTGTCATGGGCCACCAACAAAACGATTTCGTTAACGATGAGTTTTATATTGACGAAAGTTTACCRTCGAGTTTGAGTATTGAGACTGGGCAGAGTCAAGGCGAATTCGTTAAGCAACTAGACACTGCAAATAATGTTGTGGCCTTGTTGCAGGTACTTAAGTGATTCTTACAGTAAGACGCATCTTCCAGACACTCTTTAGTTGTTTCTAGACCTCTTTAGTCTTACGTTGCATGTCATTTTTTCTTCGTTATTATTTTGTTTTTTACCACTGAATCGAATTGGGTAGACAATTATGACTACTACAAAAGAGAATGATCTTTTTCCTATAATTTTGTAGGCTTATATTTTTATATGTAGGTAAAGCTACGTTCACAGATTTTTCTCAACTGTTTCACTTTTTAAAATCATTCTCATTTGTAAATTAGCAAGTTGGTGGTCCAAATTACTCCCGAACATATCCCTACTTTTATTGCATGTTCGTCCCTTACACACAACCGTATTATTTAGTTTAAATGTAGACAGTTTGTTTTTTTTTAGGATAACTTGCAAATTTCGAGGTCAGAATATGAGAAACTCCGTACGGTTCTTATTCGACTGTCTCAGCTGAGTCGACAAGCTTATACTAATTTGAAATCTGAGTTAATTGAAGCTAAAAATCATATACTTTGTGAGAAAGTCTTAGTTGAAGATGCTTGTGGCAACCTTAAAACCCACATAAATAACATAATTATAGAAAAAGACAAAACAGAACGCGAAATAATTCAACGTTTGACTGTTGATCACGAGTTGGAAATAAGCGATTTTCGGAAAATTGCTCAGTCAAAAAATGAAGAAATTAAGGGTTTGAGAGACGAAAATGCCCGATTGAGTACCGAATTGAGGAAAGTTTCTCAGRAGAATTTAGAATTGAAGGAAAGATTGGAGGCGATGGCTTGCAACAACTCGAAAGAAATGGAGGATTTGAAGAAGAGAATGGATGAGGCTTTGCTTGAGAAAGAAAGGAATATGAAAGAAGAGACAGAGAGGCTTAAAAGCGAGTATAAAAGCGAAATGGAGAATATTAGAGCACGTTTTAAATTAATGACGATGGAGAGGAGTCCGTCGGAGAATAGTTTAGAAAAGATAGAACGCGGGGATTATCCAAGTATTACAAATCAAGAGGCACTTTTGCTTCAAATGACGGAGAATTTTGAATCAGAGAAAGAAGTGGCTGTGAGTGATGCTATCAGTAAGGAGAATCAACGTTGGCAGAAAATACTAGACGATAGGATAAAACAAATGGAATGTGATTTTGAACAGGAGAAAACTTTTCTTATTCAAGATATACAAAGTAGAATTCAACAAGACCAAGAAAAACAAATCAATCAATTAAGGGAACAGATTAMTAATTTAAATTTGGAATGTATTAAATATAAGGATACAATTCAGCAATTGGCAGAGTATCGGGAAGAGAGTGATTGTAATGAATTAATGCGAAGGATTGATAGCTTAGAAAAAGAGAAAACTGTTCTTAAGAATGAATTAGAGAAAATGAAAGTTGTCGAGGTTCCGACCATGGCTGCTTCAGTTGCTGTTTGTGAAGGTATTTTTTTAATTTTGTTTTTTGTTTTTAACTAATTGTGCTAATTACTTTTAGGTGCTGCAGCTACCACGGATGCTGCTACTAGTCCGGTTAAAACGAGGAAACGTAGCGAAGCCTCTTCACCAAGAGCGGGGAAACTAAACATAGATTCGTGTAAAGCAGGCGATTTAGTATTGGTAGTTTGGGACATACAACACCAAAATTTTAAAATATTACAAGAGAGTAGTTCTTTATATTTCCTTAACGCCGAATGTCTTGAATCTCTTGGCTTGAAAGTGGTCGATGGACAACCTAATAAGCTTTATTGTTATGCAGAAGTTGTTGAAAAGGAATACTGTCATGCTAGAAAGGTAATTTAAGGAATTTTTACTCCATAATTGAAGTGGAAGCATGCATTTGGGGGCTTTCTGCTACAATGCAAGTACTGCAGTAAAGGGGGGCTTTATTAATATAATTTAAGCATGTAATATTAAAAGAGTCGCTTACTAACCTCTCGTAGATCATGTTTCCCTTCGGTTATTGAAGATTGTTTGGAATTTTTTTAGGACGAAAACTGTAGTGTCGTTTTTCAGCCTGTCAACCGGTTTAGGGTACCTCAAGGTACGAAATTCTTCCGCGTGAAAGTGAAACCGCCCCCTTCAGGTAAAGAAGTACCTTCGACACAATTTCAAACACCTAGTGCTGCTCCTCAAGCGAGTCATATGTCGCAGAGTCAGACGACTATGTCGCAAGTGGTGGATATTATTGCGACGGCTGGTCCTTCGCATTCTTTACCCTCGAGTCCGTCAAAAGCCAGTTGGGAGAAGTCGGGATCGCAGGAGGCGACGATTCCCGAAGAGAAAGGTGAAGATTCGACGATAGCGCCGAGTGAGGATAGTGGAGTGAAGGTCGATGAGGATATAGAAAAAGGAACAGAATTAACGGAGAATTACCATATTGATAATCACAGTATTGATCGGTAGGTCTCGTTGGTTATTTAGTTTTTTAGTTTCATTTTTCAGTTCAGTTATTAAGGTTTTTGTACATAATTCACTTATGAAACCGACGAATTGTGAGATTAAATTTATGTTATTTTGTAGTGTGATTCGTTTTTAGAATCTGATAGTTCCATATCAAAATTCGGAGAGTCGTAAGCAGAAAATTCAATCGTTTTTTTCTTTACATTTCTAATCACGGTACAATGTTCCTTACTTTAATGACAAGAAATTTAGTAGAGGGCATTAGAGGCGATAATTAAGTAAAAAATATAATATCATCACTCATTTTAATACATAGTATGAGATAAGTTTTATTGACAAGTTTGTAAATAGGATGTATTTCTTACAGATCGCAAATTTGTGTAGTAGTATAGTAGACCCAGGTACTTCATAGATTTACTAGGTAAGGTGAAAAATTGAGTGGCCTTTAATGTATCATCACTTAGAAAAGCATCCCATACTGATGCAGTATTCATTTAATTCTAATCTAGCTCCACTGCAAAGTTATTTTACTAACTGTTACTGAAACTAACAGTATTCGAAATTCCATTATATCATTGATTTAATTAAAATAAATTATTACAGGATTGAAGAAAATTGCTGCTTACTGCTCTCCCCTCAAAAGTAAGAGTTTTCCTTAATTTGTGTTAATGTTAGTAATGAATTATTTTATGTGATATTTTAATATTGTAAATAAAGCATTAGTCCATCACAACTATATATGTGATTCTGTGGTTGTTTTAGTAAGAAATGGGTATTGGTTCAGGTTACCGTTTTTGTTCATTATGTCAGTCCAGGATTCAAAAATTGTATTGGTGACAGAATATTTATTTTATTTATCTAACAATAAATTATTTTTTGCTTTTTTTCTCGAATATAATAAATATTCTGTCTGTATTATGGCCTTATGGATTATTGAATCAAAAATGTAGCTATTACTTTTCAAACTATAGAAAATAGTCTACTTTTGATATTTATAAATAATTTATTTAATCATATATCCATCTCACTACTTTTAAAAACTTCAATCGCATAAATAGAATAAGTACTAGAAAAAAATTCAATCACAAATTATGCCCATTTGTTTAGTGAGTTTTTTTGCAGTTACTTTGTGGCGTGATGCAAGAGAATGACTTTTATAACTGAAACGCGTTATTGACGATTTTGTTTCGGTTTAGATTTGCGTTGATGAATAGATTAGTGTATGTGTTTTTAAGCTTGTATAAGTGATTTTTCTGAACATTAGGACTAAATTAACGTAACATTTACAAATTTTTTATAAGGAACGCAAGTGTGCAATAAATAAATATATCTAAACATATATACTTCGCATTTATTACACACGGGACATATCATTGCACACTTGGAGATAAAAAATTAATGAGCTAAACACAGTTGAGGTGAGTTACAGGTTTGAGGTGAGTAAAAACGACCAACAGCAGAGGCATCAACGGCTGTTTTACTTTCGTTATGAACAAAGTTACAAGAATTATGCAAGAGAGAAAGTTCGGTGGTTTGTTCAAACCTCCTTGGTTCAAACAGTTATTAATTTTTTTAAACTGATTTTTCTTTGTCATTGTAATACGTCGTAAAAATAAACATATCACTTTATTTCGCTCTTTTAAATATAATCAATAGTATCTTCCTATTGTATGTATAGAAATTTTAAAAGTGTAAAGTTCATTGTAAGTTTTGAGATGCATTACACAATGCTGCTTCTTCACTGTCTACATTTTAAAGGAAAGAACGGGTGTGAAWTTATTTCGAAAATTGTATCACAAATCTATTTGTTTATTTATACATAGTATATACAATGTGTACAACAATAATACTCAAACATAATGAAGATCATTGAAAGCATAAGTGTACAAGGCACTCAAAAACGTGAAAAGACTGCCTAACTAGTTATTGATGATGTGTAATTAGATCGAAATTTTCGTGACTGTAATGTGAATTACTCGCACCTGGTACACAGTTATTAATTCGGAAATCGAGGTCACCAAACATGGCACTGTCATTGATTTTACTATTATCATAAGCTGACAAAAAATTATTATAGTCCGCGTATTGACCCAAATCGATGTATTTCTCCTGGTAATTCGACTTGTACGTTTTCGAATTTGGAAATGTTTCAAAATGTTGCATACTTTCGTCAAAGTAGACTTTATTATCGGTGATGATTTCGAAATTTTGCGTTTTGTATTCACTGTCGAGCATCGTTTGCTGGTAGTAATTCGTAGTTTTTTGTACACTATATGATAATTCGTCTATTTTTGCACTTTCTACGAAGTTGTTTTGGTTTAATGAAGGAACTAGGTTGTTGTTAAGACTTAGAGTGTTATCAGGGGATTGACTTAGATTGAATCGACTGCTGCCACTGTTGTTGCTGTCATCGTTGATCATGGTACCGATATTTTGGTTCCAGTACTCTTCAGATTTAAATTCTCGATGTATGGTACCACTTCCTAAATCCAGAAGAGTCGAAGGCGACCTGTTAAGGTCACTCTGAGAGTTGGCCACAAAATCGGGTTTGATTGGTTGATCCAACTGGAAGATTTCTTCCGGTTGGAACAAATCAGCAGRAATGTTTGTAAAATCGTACTGCTGATTGAGAGTGACTTCAGCAGGATAAGATTGCGCTTGTGCCGGTTCCTGCGTCCAGTACGAGTCTAGAATCTGCGGCTGTTGATATGTTGGTGAATGAGGGTTGTATTGTTGCAAAGTGGTGGGAAGTACCGGCTGATAATTACAAATACACTCAAAAGGCGGACAAGAACAATAACCTGCAACGGTACTACTTAAATCACCTTGTTTCTAATTAAAATTTTATTACCTTTGTCTTGGTCCGCAATCAGTGGAGGAGGGTTGAGAGTACGCGTTGAGGTCAGATCACGACACTGACGTTTCGGTTCTCTCAGCGACATCAGCTGGAATAAAAATTACAAGCTCAATAAATTGAGTTCTTGAACGTTGCTGAGGGGTCCAATAATGAGAGGTTTGTCTAACACATGATTAAGCATCAGCAATCACYAATATTTCGATACAAATTGAGTTACGACTGATAAATCGACCACACGTATGTAATTATATGGTGAGGCCGACGATTTAAGAAGAACAAACCGGTAATTAATGCTAGTATCCGCTATGAAATGCTGCATTGACAGAAACATATGTCTTCTTCGCTTTACATACCAATTTAATTAAATATACATTTCCGTCTGTCTTGGGATCATAATTCTTTGTTCGGATGATGTCATCAGAGACAATATAGTAGGGGAGTGGAAGGTAACACGAGCAGGGCGTTGAAAACTATGTACCATGTACACGACTTTACAAATTTTTATTATCTAACAGCGAATAAATATTCTCAGTTACAAATTATTTTATCAATAAAATCCAAATGATATACAAGTACAAAGRGAATGTCGGTAACCGGCATTGTGTGCTCATAGAAGATTTTGAAGAGGATTAATAAATTGAAGAAGAGGGTTTTTTAAGGGGAACGATTACAAAGGATCTACATGGATATTGAATGAAATTTATTAACAAGCACTTCTGACGAGTGATWATTGTCTTAAAAATTGCGTTACAATTTATATAGTTCTTTCTGAAAATATTTTGAAATGTGTTTCAAGAATGGAAGATGAAACATATTCTGAATGAAGCAAATATTGTTGTTGAGCAAGTAAATTTACAAAAAGTAAAATAACTTACAGATGAAGTGTCAATTTACAACATTTTTGTGAAATGTAATAATTCTATTTTTAAAACTTTGTGCAGTCTCTGCTTAAGATTGTCTTGAAATTGTCAATTTCTTTTATTTTTACTCTATAAAAACTTTTTCTTTATTTTTCGTCATGAAAAGAGGAAATAAAATAATCGATTTTTTTTACGTAAAACTTATTTTAAATTGAACAAATCACTCTATTCTAAGTGTATAACAAACAAAATAATGAATTTTTTTATTAAGCAAATTTTTAAAAAAAATTAAAATTCAAAATTTTTTGTCTAAAGAAATTTTGATTTCTATCTCTCTTGAAGATAAACTGTTTTTTTTTCGTTGTTTTGTGCTTCTTAATTTTATTAAAAAGAACTAATTTTTTATAAAGAAAAATTGTAATTATCTTCCCTTAAAAATAATAACTATTTCGAATATGTGATCATTTTTGTTTTTATTTTAATAATAAACTTGTCCATTTTTATTAAGAGTAAATTCGAATCCAATTTAGYCGACCATATTGGCTCCMATTTTTCGCACTCACCTTATTACCGAGCGCTGCCTCTTTCGCCAATAAAACCGCCAATCCTCTGACCCTTCTTCCGCTCCCCAGACTCCTCCTCGCTTCAGACGTGCTTTTAGCTTCCGGTCTGGGATGATCATGCACTCCCTTCGCTTGAAAAAAGATCGCATGGTCGGTGTGTCTCCAGAAATGCGTTACTGGGTACCCGCAGTGCCCTCGACAGGGTAGGATCTCCAGTCTCCCGGTGCACTGCCGATTCGGACACGGCTTACCTACACACACCACGGTGAAAATTGACTCGGTTTGAGGAGCGGCTCAATACCTATACCTTGTTGCTTCTTCCTGGCCTTGTCGCAGATGGCGGGTCGTAGATGCACCCGCTCGCCGTTGGGGAGGGTGCAGCGCAGCGAGCAGACGAGGACTCCTAGACAGCTTTTCTTGAGGATGTGCACGTTGTGGTTGTTGGTGTTCCTCATGGCCCACCCAGAGGAGTGCCGTTTGGCGTCTTCGTTGTCGGCGCGGTACACCAACCGGCAGTGGCCATCGGCCCATTCGGAGAACGAGTCAAACTCATTGATGCGGGGGATTGCACTGTCGTTGATGTCCCAGTCGGAGGATGACGAGGAGTAGACCCGGCACGACATGCCAGGGGACGACGGGGTATGCCTGCAAAGCGCCTGGTTTGGGACATTTTTTCAACTAAACCATACCTATCTTATAATATAACATAGTGGATAATTTAAATTTGTGTATATCGAGAGTCACCTAACATTATCTCGTAAGTGAAAAATGACAGTTTTTGGTAATTCTGCAGTAATATAATATTTTAAACATTTAGTTAGGTAAATTACATTGTTGAAGTATAAAAAGAAAACTGCGAAACTAGGAGTTACGAGGAGTATATGCCATATTGACCTCSATGGTTGAATCGAATTTATCGTAGAAAATGTTATTATTAATAATATTTAAATAATTTTCTGTAAATTTTTTGAATAAATAAAACTGAATAAATTTCATAAGCATTTTTTTTTTTGATATAATAATGAATGTTTATTTTGACATACTTTTTGTAAGGATGATTCTAACTTGAAGTATATCCTTTACAACTCTTGGCTAAGAGAAAGATAAAAACTTAAAAAAAATTGTAGAAAACATTTTGAGAAACGCCAAAATTTTGCTTAAAAAAGAAGTCAATAGATTTATGAAATCAAATTCTATTAGCCAAAATCATTATTTTGGAAAAATTTTAAAATTGCATTTTTTTGCTAAAGAAATTTACCTACTATATCAAATTTTCACTTCTGTTTATATGTACAAAATTTTAACAATTTATGTGACGTTTTTATTTTAGCAGAATAGAAATGTACATTAATTTTAACTGCGTCCAGAACTTGTTTATTTCGTTTTTATTGTAACAAATTTAAACAAGTGATAAAATATTCAATTTTAAGATGAAAGGTTCTTTTAAACATGTGTCAAAAAATTCAATGAAAGGGAGCTACACTCTCTGAAAGGGGCACGTTCTTCAATATGTTTTTCTCAATATTTCAGAATAGATAAAATTACAAACATTGTATGTATAATACACTATTAAACAAGTTCAAAGATCAAATTTTGAAATTTTTAGTGCTAAACTGGAGGGGTATAGGGTAACAGGAATTTAATTTTAAATTTTTATTCTGTTTATGGTAACATCATTTTTAAATTAATTTTACTCAGAAACGGTAAGTTGTATTGAAACAACCCAAGAGACCTCTTTTTTCTGAGAAACTATGGAATTTAGGACTTGTTGCTGAAAGTGTCAAGAAACTACAGCCAAAATAGAGTACTTTGTACCCTATACCTTCCCAGTTTAGGACGCCCTTGATTAAAAATTTCAATATTTGATGTTGGAGTTCGTTTAGGTGTACCTATACTTAAATGTTATCATTATCAGGTGTACCAAATTTTGTAATTTCATCTAAAAAGCCTTTTTGAGATCCGGATTAGATCAAAATAAACAATTTGGTGAGTTTTTCGACATTTAGTACTTTCGTTTCTTATTAGTTTATAGTAGTTTTTCGTCTTGCGTGAAGCGCGGAAGTCAAGCAGTTTCTAATCGTTTAACAATAATAATTAACTATTATTTGTTTAATATTGTAAAATAATGCTCCTAATTATTTCAGCACATTCTTATTGCACATAATCTTAATTATAAACTCATTTTTATTGTTGAAATAATAATTAGGTACCTATTAATGAACAATGAACCTTTAAACTTGGAGTTTTACGCCTATTTTTTGTWACAAAATTTGTATTCAATATTACAATGTGGTTGTTTACACATAAAATTAAAAAGACGATATTAACTATTTAACCGAAAAACAAATAGAATTCATTCATTGTGCGTGTGCTTGTTTAGTGGCTTTTTTTATCGGTGAGGTGTACGTCCTCGGTCACCATAGGCGGATGGGTAATAATTTGATTAAATTGACTAAAATAGTTATTTTTTAAAAATTTTTTATCATGTATATGAAGTTTATTCTCTTAGTCCATATAAGTAAGTATAAAAAAAACGTTAGTGCTACAGTAGATTTTTTTCTGAAATCATAATTCTTTATATTATGTATAAATTTTGAAAACTATGCAATCTATATTATACAATATTACACTTTACGGACCATTTTGTTAACTTTACGGACAATTGCAGAAAAAAAATAAAAAAATAATAATGAAAATTAAAATTAATTATCAATGTTGACAAATAAAGAATGAAGAATTGCATCAATTTTTCATAGTTTTATTAATGCAAATACATAAATGTTCTTGTGCAACTCGTGCAATTATTTATTTTATGAAACGAATTCAAAATATTCTACTACATTTTTTTTTTACATCTACAACAAAAAAATTACCAGAAGATAAATTTATGACATTTTGTACTGTAGCTGCTGAGCTTTTTTGTGCTTTGCGAGCGTAATTTCTTGGCTAAATATAGCACAATAAGCGGTACGTCGTCTTATCGCACGTTGGGGTCTCCGAAGACAYACGAGGAATTTCCTCGTATATGAAATTGAAAAGGTAATTGAGGGGTTGGCGATCAGATTAGATGAAGAATTTGTGCGCGGGAAAGATGAATTTTAATAATAAATAGATGAACGCACAACCCACACGATCTTTTGAATGTAAAATTAAAGCGTGTAAAATCMACTATAATAAATTTTATCTTACTAAGTTATCGACTTCTTGGTGAATCGSTCGTAAAGTAGCCCCGGGCTTTTAGTTATTAAACAATCGTAATTTACCGTTGTCAATAGGACGGTAATTATCATGTTCGATTAATTATAAGATATCTGATTTTACACTCGTAAATAATTCACCAGTCAAGAATAGGACTGCACCGGACTGGATATACGAGTTCACGCACTTTTGTTTCAGAATCTTCCGTTCTTATCTAGAAATATGCGAAAGGAAGACATTTTTTATAAATCATTTTCCTCACTTGTCCATAAACTAGTTTTATTTAAATATTCATCTAGTGAATGCTAAASCTGTCATTGCTCATTTCACACCCATCAATAGTTTAAAAGATACTTACAAAATTACCATATCTCCGGAAATGTCCGAATAAGATCCCAAAGTGGTCAAGCTGTGTTGCTGAAACTCTTGAATCACCACTTGTTACACATGAAAATGAATTTCAGTACGTCACAGTTCCGGTTTGTTCGCATGAAACACACCCTGTTGTTAGAAAGGTGTAAGGATGACTGATCCTGAAAACGCATGTTCATTCCTGGCAATAGAAAGCCACTCCCTCTATCCCTTCTCCGGGAATCTAACGCTTTGCCAACCAATAGGAACCTTTTCTATTTCAGGAAACACCTCCCGGTTTTCAGTATCTAACACCTGATACCGGTGCGTAGGATGATTGGCGGAGGGCTTAATGAGAGTGGGTGTAGCGTAAAATATTCATATTCAGTTGAATTTCTGCGATTCTTGGTTAATATAAAAATGTAAGAATTGTGTGAGGCAGATGACAACGACACATTAATGCGAATTTAATAACGAAGGGAAAAAATTTCTTAATATCATGAAATTGTAWGGCGGTAATGTTGGCGGGGGATTGATTGTAATGGCTGAAATAATTGCGTTGTTGCTGGATAAATATTTTAATTAAGAAATTAATTGGTGGCGATCTTGAATGAAGCTGATAAAAAGCTCATAGTCGGGTTTCATCGGCGTCTAATTAAGGAAATGATAAAATTTGCTATTTATGAAAAATAAAAGTGCTGAAGTTGCTGCCAATAAGTTGTTTCACCTGCTAATCCGAGGAAAAAGCGGCGTGGAAGGTATCATTGATTTGAAAAGTAGTAGAGTGTGTAGTTGCATTGGCGACCGGTTGGTTTGCTTAAATTAATGCCAGCGACTATTCTCAGTGACTGAAAACTCCAAGAACGCTATCAAAAAGCAATAGACTTCACTAAGTATTTCAACTCTAATTGCACTTATTTTACTTAATGGACTTAAATGGGTGCCTTATTATAACTCCGAGAATAATTTAATTAAGGATGCTGCTAATGGTATCAAAATTTAACTCGATGAGATTTTGTACATTTGCAATTTTAGGCTTTTTGCTTGTTTTCAACACTGAATGCGGGAGGATCGGCAAATTGCTAAAGTCCAAGCTCGTAAAATATTTGGTTTATTGCAAATTGGTGTTTATCGAATTGCTCGTAAACATTTTTCTGACGAATTATGATAATTTTTACACCATTTAAATGTTGCTTAATTACTAAATTAAGCCAGGCCTAATAATTGCATCAGGTGTCACTTAAAATAATCTTTTTCGGAATGACTCGTAGAAGGAATTTCAGATGCGGCAGCTTTTAAGGATAATCGGTAATGGATTTCAATGGCCACGTATAATTTTATGATAGAAATTTAGGTTTCTAAAGAATATTGGTCGAYAGCGTTGCTGACAACAGCGATGATATGAAATAAAATCGATTAAGGATCAAAGCGGTTCGCTTGATATAAAAGCCATAAACTTATTCTCAGTGTTTAATAGTGACCTGTAATAAAATTTTTGTATTAAAACAACAAATTTGAATTTTTTCAGTGAAATCGATAAGTAGTATTCCATTCATGGACAAATTTAATTTCGCTCAACGTTTTTATTGGGTTCATTTTAATTTCGGTTTGTTTTAACACTAAAATTATTATGCTTGCCTTGTCTGTTTGCTTGTTACTTTTGTTGTCAAGTTACTTTAGAGATTTTTATGCAATAAAATTATTTAAATTGTGTGGAAGAATTTGCTAATATTTATTTAATTTAAATAAGTGMAGTGACAAAGTTACAGGCTTGTTTACTCAGAAACTTTTTTTCTTTTATAGACCGGCGCTTAATTGCTAACTGAACGCATCTCAATTTACATTAACGACTTGATAACTCCACTTTATTACCGAATCGATTTTAGTCTTTACAGCGCAATAAGTGTAATCAAAGAAAGATAAAAGTGCGCAAAAATAGAGCGTATGCTTTCAAAACAAATTAAATTTTTCTCTTGCCGCATGTACATAGTATCATTATATAACAATGTATGCAGCAGTCCTAATTATAATATATGAAACTAGTAAAATATTTCACTTTTATTATGATTAAAACACTCTTTATTTGCCATTAGCTCCGCTTCATTACACAAATTACTTCGAACATTGTATCTTTTAATAAATTAAATCAAGATTATCAAAGCGACGGTTACAGGTTYATCTATTTTACAATCAAAGTTTCCAAATCATTATTAAATAAATGTCTTTTAAATTACCTACACCGTCTTCATGTGTTTTAAATTTTACATTGTCAGTTTGTCACGAGTATTAATTTAAGATATCTAACTTTTCAATMATTTTTTTTTAAAGTAAAGGTAAGAGATTTTTTGTATAGTGGATTTATCACTGATGATGCCCAGTTTATTTGGCGAAACACGTGTCAGTTTTTTCAATAAAATTTATCTTTATTGAGCCAAAGTACGGACAATTTTTATTTCTGTAGAAGTTTAAATGTAATTATTATATTTACATTTTGTWATTTTTGGATACATTTTTTAAAGTAGCACCAATATTTAAAATGCTTTTTTGGCCTCCTGACATGTAAATGTCAAATTAACGTACAATTGACACCTATTGAAAGACTGTATTTASAGTCGCCTGGGCATTTTACGCACAGACGAGTGTGAAGTGACAGTTTTACCGCACGGCCAAAATTATCTTCATAGACATTTATAAAAAAAACTGTTTGTAAGATGATAACATTTTTAATAAAACGCTCTACACACAACCTTTCAATCTTAGAACTCTTTTTTCTTCACACCACTTTATAATTATAAACACATTGTACTGGGCTTCATACCTTGCTCGCGATTTTTCTGGCAATAGCTCGGTTGTAACATTTTCTGCAGCACTTCTGATTTCTGGTGGGGTACACATGGGGCTATTATCGCTCGACATTTTGAAGCATAAATTCACCAACAAGACAACGATAACAAAACTTTGTGTCTGAGACGTTTTTGCGTCTTTTTTAATTGTTTGACATTAGAGTGCATAGCCACCGTGATATTTATTGTCAAACGTATTTATTTGTATTAATTCTGAATTTTGTAATTTGGATTTTTGTTTAAACGTCGGCCAAAAAGCTTAATACAAATCTTGTGCGTTAACCATTTTACAKTGCTCAATTATTAAAGCACTCCGCTGCGCGTCGTGCTTCAAATTCATTTCGCACTGTAAAATGTAAGTTACCGCACACGAATGTAAATAACTATTTAGATGTAAAAGAYATTTTACTCGGTGATTTATTCGAAATGATGTGATCATATTTTTTCGTCTCCACGGCAAAGAAATCCTCTGGAATGAGTCGAAGCTATGCGAAAATCCTCGTTTCAATAGGCATAACTATCAGAATACCGGAGTTCCAGGTGGTGGTGATGGGCAGGTATGGAGTAGCCGGCCGGGTGTGCGCCCGGTCGTGAGCCGTGGACGTGTGGTGCTCAGGCACGAGCTAACAGTTACTGAACGGTTACGTTAGGCAGACACCCGTATCGGTGTCCACGTGCCAAATACTGGATACTGACTGGATAATACGTCGCAGTCGGCGGCGACGTTAACTTGTAACGAGATACGGCATCTTCGAGGAGCAGCCACAGGTCCGTCTTTCACTTTTACGGCCCCGTGGGTGGTCCCAGGCCATTGTGTTAATGAAAGGGTTCGTCTCGCTCGTTTGATGACACTAAATCAAGAAGCGCAACGATTTTTTCCGGGTTGTCAGCTTCTGGGCTGTGTTATTACGGAATATAGTTGTATTAGTTGTAAAGTGTGGCGGTGTGAGAGGGGCGACGTTTGATTTGTTATTAAATTAGTTGCGCAGGATAGGTTTAGAGGCGGTAAGCGACTTAGAAGAGAGTTTATGAGAAGTCGAAAAAGTGCTTCAGGTGACAGGGATTCTGATCAGATTTTATCTTATTTTGCTCGCTTGCTTGCTTACCGCTTCCAGATCGGAAAAATTTTAATTATTTATGTTTGTGTCAACATTACATATTATGTGTTTGTGGCATTTGTAATTACCGGCTTGGTCTATTTAATTCGTAGCTTTGCAATATGTAATTACATGTGTGACCGCTTTATCACTTTGAGCTCCAAYTGATAAGAGCAGAAAATGCGTGTGGCTAACGGCAAAAACGATTGTGCGAATGTTTGAATTTCTACAAATTATAATATTTACCACGCTTTTGAAAAATGGAATTATTATTAGTTATAACTATAAGACTCGCGAGAGAAATTGTTTTAATAAATCGTGCCAGTTGAAAGTTTCTCAAACTTAAAATTATTCTGAAGTGAGGGCATGTTTATTTATTCAGATAAAAATGTTTTAAAGCGTCTGATCGTAACTTCAACACCTCTGTATAAATTTGCTTGATGTAGAAGCACACGCAAAGAGGGAGTCCGTGTGAAATAAAGTGTAAATTAGCGTCGGAGGCTATGATTTGGTGAAATAAGTCTAATTTACACATCGTGTGTACGTTGCTTTCGCTGCAGGTAAGAAGCGTTAACTTACACSACCTAAGGCAGTAAGTAACTGTTGATTTAAACCATTCTTTTTGAATTAAAAATTAAAAAAAAAAACGAAATTTTTGTTTGATTTATAAAAATTTGGCTTATAATAAGTAAATTGTGTTTTTGTACAAGCAATCATTTTTTTAGTGTCAGGAAGGTTGAGTAAAAGCTTAAAAGTTGTGGGTTGTCCTTTCCGGCCAATAAAGTGGTCGTCAACTATACAACCCTCATTAGCGGCAGCAATGTAAACATTATCTTACAATCTGAGAAATCCTTCGATCCTTGTAGTGAAAATTCGAACAAACTCTCTTGAAATTCTCGGCATATCCCATCGCTCGCTCTGAAATTCCATGCAAATGCGGTCTTGGCTGCGTCGATCTCGGGAGTGCGCTGAAATGAATCGGTCTCTGCGGGAGGACATGTATGCATTTTTCTCACCTGATTTATCGCTGTTTGTATTAAATCTCATCCTCGCAGCGTCCAACACGATCTCGTGTAATAAAATGAGATTATCCCGCCTTTAGCGGCAATTTGAGATTGTTTCAACCAGCTGTGTTGGCCTATTAGCCAAAGGATGCGCACGATATTTGCAAAGCAACYAGGAATGTTAATCATCCCTTCGAGACGACGCGATGACGAGTTAATTTATCACGATTTTGTCATTGCGCACGGATTCGTGCATAATTTAGTGGTTGTCGAAGCTGAAAATGCTTCTTTACACTTACAATGCCTGACTGCTCATATAGTTCGGCTCATTCTTCCACCAACTCGACAAATAACGCAGTTTCTCTGCTCTTTAATTAACTCAAAATATTTGCCGAGTTGAGACAGTGTTAGGAAATCCTTGCTGCCAGAGGATGTCAAAAGTTTTCCAACAGGGGCATTCCTGGGATTGTTGCGGAAATTTATTCACTGTGTCGGGGACATTTTTATTACGCGACAATGTGTGCACATAAATTACGCGTAAACCGATTTTGCTCGACAAAAGTTTTACAATTATTTTAATTTATAGGCGTATTCTATAGTCTAGGAGTTGACACCTTGTCTACTAAACATGTTGCTCTTATTTCCCATCTCGCATTATAATAATGCTCTTACAGCTTTCAATCTAACGGTGCAAGTATTAATTTAAACAAAACATTGTTTAATTTGTTTATAACATTTTAAATAAAAGTATTTTAGTTCAATAAAATGCAGAACACAAACACTGTTTTTTTTTAACYTGCCATTAAAACGAAATCTTTTGATTATCAAAACAACTCTAGAARTTATTTTTGATCTCAGATTAWCATAAATGTTTTCAAATAAATGTGTTTAGAATGGGTGCCTGATRGACATTCTGAGAGCAAATCTAATTATTTGATAACCAAAAACATCATTAATTCATGACCGATAAAATCACACCGTTTTTTAAAAAATAGCATACGATCAAATTTGAACAAGTTTGCAAATATTTTTTTGTATACGCTTCCGAAAACAGCTGTTTTAGGGACACATTTGAGTCCCTAAAATGAGTCTTTTCCGGACTCAATAAAATAGTACGCAAAACGGTTATTTTAGGTACTCAGTCCCCAAAAACAGTTTTTGTGGACTAAAAAATAAAATTGGTTAGTGGTCACAATTTTTTTTAATTAGTAAGAGGTGTGAATTCGAGTTTTGGGAGCTTTAACAAAAAAATCTTGTATGCACCACGTACCAAAAGATTTTAGGTGACTCCTTTCATTAAAGACTGGGCTCCTACGTCGCCTCGTCATTAATTACGATTTGTCCCCTAAACCCTATTTTGCGTACTTGATACATAAATAGCTATTTGGTCTCGAGAACTATGATTAATATTTTTACACATTTTTGATAGATAGGGTACTTTATTTTTATACGGTATCTGTAAAATTTAACACGAAAACAACACAAAAATTTTAAGCTTTCAGAAATCCTGAAAAAAAAAGATAAATTAAGGTGAAGTCCATTAATATTAAGAAAAGATGCCAAATTTATTTATCTATTATTCAGAAATAAACACATTTTTTCTGCAGTATTTTTGATCAGCGCAATTATTTTAATTTATAGGCGTATTATAGTCCAAGAGTTGACACCTTGTCTACTTGTGCTGAAAACAGTAAACGTGTCAGATCCGTCGCCGTCGCGGACACATCGAAATAATTATGGATTAATCGAAGAATAGTCCTTAGACAAAAAGTTTTGAACATTATTAGTGCGTTAGATATTTTATAACTTTGTGCATTCTATTCTTTCTGTTTTTCTTCTTTTTATTTGTTGTATTACTAAAACAACTGGGTTTTTTTTTTGTCTAATCTAAGTGAGTCAGAAGAAGCCTCAAGGAAGAAGGATTAGTTGCAAGAAGACCAGCAAATGGCCCCAAATTGGCCAGAGAGCATCGAGTCGAGCGACTACGTTTTGCTCACAAACATGAGAATTGGGGTGTTGCTGATTGGAGCCGAGTTCTTTTTTTCTCTGATGAGTCGAGGTTTTGTCTTCATTCTCCAGATAGACGACAAAGAGTTTGGCGACGAGCAGGAAAAAGATTTGCACAGTGCAATATCTCAAGGAGTTTTGGAGGAGTTTGGAAGCTCGTACCAAATTAGTCATTGTAGACAGAGGAACAATGACTGCTGATAGGTACATGAGAGACATTCTGAAACCCTATGATGTGCCTTATGCACTATTTATTGGTGAAGATTTTATTTTGATGGACGATAATGCTCACACTGCTCGTATCGTGAACACGTATCTAGATGACCTAACCTAAATCTCATTGCACACATTTGGGAGATGGTGGGAAGAAAGATTCGACGCAGAGTTCCTGCTCCTGCAACTTTGAGAGAGCTAAGTGTGGAAGTATCCCAAATTTGGGAAGAAATTGACCAAAGAGCGATTGAACATCTTATTGAAGGAATGCCAAGAAGAATGGCAGCTGTAATACGTGCAATGGGAGGTAACACACAGTATTAAACTTAACTCTTTATTATGTATTAATTCAGGATTTAATGTTTTCGAAAAATTTTAATTTTTTTTGTTATTGAAAAAATTAAAACACTGTTATTTAATTTAAGCTGGCTTTTGTTTATACTTATTCTAAAATATTGCCGCCTTGTAGAACAAGAATTTTAGTTGAGAAAAACTAAAAAAAAATAATGGATCGAATTTTGTGCCGGTGAGTGTATTTGCATATCTTTTTATTTCTTATATTTGATTATTATATTGTATTTCAGATGTAAATTGTCGTTTTTTGTTGTTGGACACTGGGCTATGTTTATCTTAATTCTTGCCTTGGGATAGTAGCATCAAAAATAATAAATGACTGCTCACGTCCCATAAATTCCTTAAGTATGTATTTTTTCTACTATGCAACAACAATAACCGGCTGTATCATTACCGTCTATAATTAGGTTCATGATAGAACACGTGTAATACAATCTATTTAATTTTTAATAATGTTTCGATGAAGCGCGCATCTGATCAAAAGATGCAGTCATGTCGCACCTGCTGTTATTAAAAGATAGTAGCCGAACACGTTTACAAATAATATCAACAATCGCACAATAATTATATTTGCAAGTCGTCGACATGTTGAGAACCTCCGATCGTGAGAAAAGCAAAGGATGCGATTAAAGGAAAGGAATCAAAGGTTAGTCTCAAGCTTCGTTGGATTTGCAACTGTTAGTTCTCATGTTTACGCGCTTCTTCTGTTTCC